TTACTTTACATTTATGCATGGCAGTTGTATTCCATTTTAGGTAAGGTAGTGATTCAACTTGGTCCGTTTTTATTCTTTAGCTTTATTACCAATATGACATTTGTTTTATATAAGGCACTCTTATCATTTTGAATAAAGTGAATCATTCCATTTAATTTTATTCCTGCATATACACTCTTCTAACATTATGTTTAATAGAATGTACGGAGTAACATCTGTACATGTTTTATTTATCTTAGAATTACTATACTATTAAACTCATATATGATTTGTTCATAGCTAAAAAAATGTGGCCAAGGTCACCTACAAATATACATATAAAAAATAGTCCGTAAAATGAATAATCAAGCATAACCGAAATAATGTGGCCAAAATATCATTATCCAGCCTTTAGTATAGAGCTCATCAAATCGCTCTCCCCTTCTTATTTGTCCGAAACTTTAGCCTGGTACACTTCTGCTGTTCTGAATAATTCTTCCAAGGAAAATTTTACGGTGCAGTAGTGTGACTGTGTGAGGGGATGTTTTGGTGCATTCCACACGGTATCTGCGAAGTCGAAGAAACCATGGCCAGTGAAACAATCCACACGGTAAGTACCCTCATCATCTCTAATCTATTCACTTTTCACCAATGATCGAAGTCGCATGTTAAAGTTATTATCCCTAATTTGATTTGCACTTTGGATTGTGAATTGATTTAGTGTCAATTTAGTTTGGTAAATATTGATTGAAAGGTAAATAGTGATTTTTATCTTCCACCCTAATTTGATCTTCTTCATCATCTTCAAATGAAAGAGATGAATTATGCAAAAATTGATTTCAGATTTTAGTTTTATAGATTTGATATCAGAGTTTAACTTTTAAAAATGTACGGTTAAACTTATTTGCTTGAATTTATGCATCGTTTTTATTTCTTTACTTTATTTGTTTAAAATAATTCTTTCAATATCAAATCATATAAATGTGGAGTCCTTGTTGTACCCACTTTTGTACACACATTTGTACTCATCCCTCTATTTTGTCCGTGTACACATGCATTTGGGAGACAAATGTTATCTTCTTCTTAAAGAATTGCCTATTTGCTTGTGTGCACAAGCAAAATAGGAGTGGGTACAAAAGTGGGTACAGATTTTTTGATAAATGTGGCCTGGTTCTTGGGAGTTGGGAACACAACAATATGTGTGTTCGTTTGTTTTTTATATAAGATTTCCTTATGCTATTATATGTAAATACTCGTAGTTGCTATGTTTTGTTTTAGAATGGAAGATATAGATATTTTTTGAAGAGAAGATTTAGGATGGAAGATTTACTATCTTAAAAGATGTTGATGTGAAGCCAGATTCATACAACCGGTCCTTGGATGGAAATTGAACAACGAGTTGATGGATCAAATAATTCTGCTCAGGAATGAAGTAAAGAGGGTTCACATGATCGTTGAAGTTGAAAGAAAGAAGTTGAAGCGGGACATATATTTTGTTCATTTCAAGTAATGATGAAGCACTAGTATTCTACCCGTGCGATGCACGGGAAATAATCGTATTCAAAGATATATGATGTAACTCGTAAGTTAAAAAATAAATAGTGACACAATTTTAAAAATTTAATAACTTTTTGCACATACATAAGAGTATGATGGACTCGTGGAAGTAGTAAGCTATATATAAATATAAACGAATATTTATACAATTTGAAAACAAATTTGTCTTATATTAGTACTTTTTCCATCTGCATCACATATGGCTATTTTCAAACCTGCAGTATTAGTGACACGTGAAAGGTCAACATTGGACAATAATTATTCTTGACTCTTATTTATCGTCATAGCATATGAGACAATAAAAGGAAAATGTCTTCTTTCCCGTCGTCATTTGAAAGTAGACTACACAAACTAACCATAATCAAATATTTTTCATGTATTTTAGAATATTCTTGTTATCGGAATGCATACGTTCATAATTTACATTCACTAAAATTATATATATATTTAATACATATATATATATATATATATATATTTAAAAACAGTCCATTCAAATTGTCATGATCCTAGCCTAATAGCCTATTCATTTATAAACAGCCCATTTGATTATTTATATACAAAGTATATCTGAATGCAAACCCAGCTTAAAACCCCATTCTTGATGCTAGCCCAACAGCCTAGAACCCCCTTTACTAATGCCATAGCCCTATCACCGCCATACGATCGGCTAATTCAGCACCCCCCATGTTACCCTTCCTTCTTCGCATCGATCTCCAGATCCTTACGGCGATCTCCAAATGACCGCAGTCCGTTCGCATGTCGTCGCACTCACCCTACAATGGATCGACAACTTCACCGATCACCAACACAACCATCAAATAACCGCAACCGATCGGCAAAGTCAGTAGCCTTAATCCCCATCTTCCATCTTTCTTCTTCGCTGCCAACTCCAATCCCGATCGGCAAATTCAGCAGCCCCAATTCCCCCAATCTTCCATCTTTCTTCTTCGTTGTAACTCCAAAAGGCACAAATTTAATTCCTAAAGGCACAAATGGTAATTTTAAGAGTCATTTTGAATCTCGGTCCAATGTATTATGGACTATAATTCCCATTTGAAAAATTGTGTTTTAGTGGGATTCCAAAAGTCTCCTCCATTGCTTCACGTATACTACAAATTATAACATGCTATAAGAATCTAAATTACTAAATGAGAGTAGGTTTTGTGGGTATATAACTTTTGTTGTAAGGATAAACCAAAATTTGAGCTTGAATAAAGAGAATATTCAAGTCACAATTATCCATAGCTCAACATCAATTTGAGCTTAAAAATTAAAATACACATTCAATCATCATGACAAAAGTTTTTCATTCAAGAAGAAAATAACCGCATCCAAAACAAACTTAAACACCAATCCATCCGACATTTTTTCAGGCGTAGAGAAAAAAAATCATCTGAACTTAAACAACAGTCCAAAAAAGGGTTCTGAAGCAGTTTTATCTCCAGGCTTAGTTAAAATCATTCCTTTTCTTCTTTAATCTTTACCTTCAATTTCTTTGAACATTCTGTTAATGAAAACTCTTCCACCAAAGCAAGGTCAACACTTTCCTTTGACTATGTGCTTCTCCATTAGAAGACACAATCTACGTTGGAATACGAATTAAACTCATCTATCATGCTTCTTCTCCAGAGAAAACAAATGATTGATTCTCCCCTACAAAACAAATAGTTAAGGAAAATTATGAGAAAAACACATTAAAAAACGTAGATAGTAATCTCAATTACTTTTCTTGATAACCACATAAGAACACCCTAAAAGTGCCTAATGAGGCAAAAGTAGTATCACAAATCTCTCTCAATCATTATTGAAAATTAGCAAGTATAATATAATAGCACATTTATTTAAAAAAACAATAATCAAATGTTTTGTTGAACAGTGGATATATGTAATAATGTTTTTAGTATCTTTCATTTTCATCCAATCAAAATTAAACATTTTACTATGAATGGTCAACTATATCTTATAATATATTAGGACAAAAAAGCTCTAATTAAATACTTGATCAGTGGGGTAAGAGATGAGTACTGCCTCAACGTCCATGCGTGTCAGGAGGTATATCATCCTTCACCAAATCATAGGCTGGAGGCATCCTCATTCCTCAAAGCAAAATAAAAAACGTTATAAGAAAAGACTATTCTGAAAACTTAATAACAAAGTAAATGAAATTATTTAACCATTAGAAAACTATATGTTCATCACTGGATTGCTTGACAGAGTGTAGAGCGTTTGGGCGTTTTGGCATAGACTGCTTGGTACGATGGGATGAAGTGACTCCCTGAGTCTTATTTATAGTAGAAATTTTCATAATTGGCTTTAAACATTTTTATTATTATATTATATTAATAAATGTATAAGTGTTGAAGGATGTGATGCACATTCTTTTAGGTCTAGAGAATTCCAAGCATCCAATGCACATTATATTAAAGCATCCAATGGCCTTTTTATTATTTCAGATGCATCGGAATTGCTAAACATCTTCTTTGTTGGCAGCATTTATTTAAATCAATAAAGATCACACAGGGAATTTCAAAAGACAAATACGAAGTAGTTGGTAGCTAATCTGTATTTGCATCGGAATTCCAAAGGTGACTTCGAGCATTGCATGGATTTATTGCTAATCAATATTTGAAGCTTTAGGCTCTTAGTATTTCTAAGGTCTGCGTGCCATCTATTTTTTAGAAACGTTTTTTCCCGCCCAACACCCCTTGTCCTCCTTCCTTGGGACTTTTGTGTTTTACTATATTATATAGATAGATTGATAGGTTCTTTGATGTTGTAATGTTTATGAGGAAACTTGAATCTTTAAAACCAGTTCAATAATTGGTTTGTATTGTAAATGTATTCACAAATGCTAAAGGTACCTCAAAATGTATCCCATTTTTACCCCACCCCCTAATGTGTGGCCATAAATGGGGCAATTCATTTAAGTGGCCATACATTAGGGTGTGGGGTAAAAATGGGGTACATTTTGGGGTACCTCTAGCAAAACTCAAATGTATTTAATGAGTACCACACTGTGATTGTAATGTCATTTTTGGATTTTCAATGCATCTGATAATCTCATATTTTTATACAGATAGTGTGTTTACTAATATGCTGAAACTAGTGTGCTCAAACAGGTAGAGTGCTAAAATTAATGTGTTGAAAGTAGTGAGTTGTTTCATGGGGTGAAACTAGTGTGTTGTTTCTTATTTTATAGTAATGTGGTGATACCTAGGGCTGGGTTTGGGTCCGAACCGATTTGTCGGTTTGCAGAACCGAACCGATTTTTCGGTTTTAGCAAAAATGGAAACCGAACCGATATAGAATCGGGAACCGATTATTTGGGACCCGAAATATCGGTTCGGTTTTTCGGTTTAACTGGGACCCGAAAATATCCTTTAATATGCAAAGTAAGACCTGTAAAAAATAAGAAGACTATAACCAATTACTAAATCACTGGCCTCACTAAAAAATTAACACACAATTGTAATCATCAATCATTCACCAACAATAATAAAATCCAACAACACAAATAATAAAATCCCATACTCTATTTCAGAACAAATCCAACACTCAACACAATAAACATCCAATCCGTTAACATCCCATAATATGAGGACAAATCAAAACTAAATTCAAAAGTAGAAACGTTGAGTTTAATTTAAAAAGGACAATGTTCAAGAACATCCAAATCAACTAACAAAGAACTTCAAAGTTGACAGCATGTGCACAGTGTACTGCCATCAATCATCCTGCATTTGACATAAAAATAAAAATAAAATAAATAATATATCAATAAGGACTGCCATATATTATTACCAGATTATGTATATTATTGCATTATATATATTATGCAAGTATGTGTTGAGAATATGAAAGAAAACCTCCATCAAGTTGTCATGGATGATTAGATGATGCCATACTCCGCCCTTGCTTCCATATCATCCACATCATCGTCATCATCATCCTCCATTTGAACCTCTATACAAGATTGGTCAACGTTTTTTGCCTTATATGCATCATACATTTTGTTCAAATGACCTTTCACTTCACTCTTCATAGCTTCAACTTGCACGGAAGTGAACCCAAGATCTTCCAAGTGTATTTCAATCATTTGCAATTTGTATCTTGGATCAAGAGCTTGGGCGACAAAGACTACTAGGTTCATTTTATCAAAAGCACCCCAATACTTATCAAACTTTAGCTTCATTGATTTGGCCACACTTTGCAAAATAGGATCTTTGGAATCCCCAATCTTCCTATCAATTTCTAGTTTCAAGTTGACCAAACTTCTCAAAACTAGATGTGATGTAGGGCTCTTCGTGGCACTAAGTTTGATAGTGACATCATAAAACTTCTTTAGAAAATGTGCAAAGCCCATTGCTTTCTCCCAATCTTCCTCTTCCGGAGGTCCCACTCTCTTGACTTTGAATTTTTTGCCATCAACCTCTCTCATCACTTCCTCACAAAAATATGCATGAAATTGTGTGCTGTCTTCATGCAACCTTGCAAACACGACTTTGTACTTATAAGCACTATGAAGCATAGAATAGGTTGCATTCCACCTTGTCACCACATCCAACGGAACGGTAGCCATCTTATCCTTCTTCTCCAATACCGCACAATCCCTAAACTTATCCAATCTTACACTTGAAGAATGAATATACTTCACACAATTTCGAATGCCCACAATGGAGTCAGCCACGAAGAGTCTCTAAGCTCTCAATGGAGTACTCTGAATTTCAACTGCTTGGTTATAGTGCTTCATCAACTTCATAGTTCATACAATAATAATTAATAATTGGCTTAGAGATATAATGAATTTAAAATAGTTTATTTTCTGTCTAATGAAAAATTCAAAATATAAATATCTACCTCTCTGTTACACAATAGGTTTTGGAAGATAAGAGGAAAGAGAGGTCACAACTCACAACTCACAAGCTGCATATGAGAGGAAGAAGCAATTAGCAAAGCTTAGGATCAAATTAAGACTATGAATCACCTGTCCTAACTCCTAACGCATACTCTTGTAGTCTTGTTTCCATTTTTTTTTACTTTTCTATAGCTGCGGATAGTTGGCAGAGAATACGGCTATGGAGAGTCAATGAGTGCGCAGAACAAGACAATAGAGACGAAGTATTACTTACCTTGTTAGGCCGGAGATTGTAGCTGGCGCCGGGCAGCGTAGATGGTAGCCGACAATCTCTTCCATCTTCACCTCCTCTTCAGCCGTTCAATTCGGCGTAGATGGTAGCCGATTGATATGTCTGTAGCTTGTGAAATTTCCTAGCCTAATGGACTGGACTCTGGACCAGCTAGGCCTGAATTTGACTTGGGCTTTTCAAAATTTATATAATAAAAAGATATATTGCCCTAAAAGGGACTAGATTATTGGTGAAACTCTTAAATAGGACTAATCATATTTTTTGCCCTAAATGGGACTGTATTACCCATTTACCCCTATTCTTTCCCTTTCCCCTCTTCCTTTTCTTTTTCTCCCCTGCGGCGCATCTTCTCCCCCTTCTCCCCTGCGCATCTCCCCTTGCGCAATACACCTTCTTCCCTTTCCCCTTCGCACTGGAACAACCAAAGCGTCGAGCCTGCCGCCGCTGACGTGAAGTTCTCTGCCACTACCCAGTCATAGTCATCACCGCCGCCGTCGCCATCGCCGTCGGAGATCTTCTCTTCTTCGAAGGTAGGCTCTCTCCTTCCTCCCCTCTTCTCCAGTTCTCTCCCTCTTCTATTTCGTTGCAGATGCTCGATTTCTTCTTTGATTGGTAAAAAATATCAAGTTCAACACTGAAAATGCCATCAAAATGGCATTCTTATTTTACAAAAATTTTGTATTTTCCTTTGAAAATGCCGTTACAATGGTATCCCTGATTCATCTTCTCAAGCTCAATGCTAAGCTATCTGTCCATTTTTTATATTCAAATTTTGTTTTTATTGTTTGTAGGTTTCAATAAAATGTACAATGGGAAGTGGGAGTTATGCAGAACCAGAGAGATAAATACTTCAAAACTCTTACTACAAAAATAATGAATGTTATTAAGCGATTCTCAGTAACACATGGAGCCACTAAGACAGTAACAACTTTGAAAACCTATTACCACCCAAAGATCATTTTTGTGAAAATGCTTTTGAAGGTTTGACTGAGGATGGTTTTCTTTCCATTATATGTATACATAGGGCACTGCATTTATACTGACTCTCATATACTTGGGATTATTATATGGCTTATATTTTCCCGGTTGGGAATTCAGTGTACCTCAACTTAGTTCCTTACCTTCAAACAATGAAACTTAAGTTTACAAGGTTAGACCATCATCACCTTCCTTTTTTGAGTACATTTACAATTTTACATGTTTGATGTTCCAACTTAGCTCTGAAATGATAATGGCATATTGAACCAACAATTTTGATACGGCAGTGACCAGAACTGCCCATGAACAATATAACAATTTCAAGAACCCAGTACAACCACACTACATACACAATTGGATGACCGTAAATGGAGGGATTAATTATGGTAAAACTGCCGAGCAAACTATCAAGTGCATCTCTAACTAAACTTGAGTATTTAACATTTAAGGCCTGCTCAATAAAAAATAGGAGTACCTGCAAAAGCAATTATTGCAATGAAGAAAATCACACTCATGAATGAACTGGATCTCTATCTTCCGGCAATAGTAGTTGAGAAATACGTAGTATCAGTTTTCTGGAAATTTTCTGGCACATCCTCCAAGCTTCTTTGCGATCATAGAGTCCTCATACACCACCATCTGCATAATGGCATCCTTCACCCCTTCCCAAACTCAACACGTATCTCAGCAAATACCTTCGTGAACTCCACCGCGTGGAATCTCAAATGTCCACGCCAATACCAATAGAGTTTGGTTCTTGGTTCCATTGACATTGATTTGTAGAATTGAAGTTCTTGTTCCTTTTTAATTCGAAAGAAAACTGGGAGAAGAAAATGACGTGTGGACGATATGAATGGAGGACTAGAAGATTTTGTTAATTGTTAGAGGTTCACTATGCAATTTTTTAATTTTTGTAGTGATAAGGAATAAAGCATCCGTTAGATTCTCCTTTAAAAAAGCATGGTATCCTAAACAGAAGCTTAATATAAAAATTTTCATGTGGAAATATCTCAATTCTTATTTTCCATTCCCAAAAAACCTTTTGAGGTTCAACATACAAATGGCTTCAAGATGTCCTTTGTGTTTTCATCATCAACAAACTCAGGATCATTGCTTCTACTCTTGTCTTAAAGTCATGCCTATTTGGCATTACTACATGAGTTTAGTGGAAGTTAACATTCCCCCCTATCAAGAGATCAGACAGATTATTTTTTCTCTTTGGTTGGGGGCTATGGACAAATCCCTTTCTGGAATCTTGAGGTATGTTCTTCTTCGCATTATTCTTTGGCATATTTGGAAGGGTATGAATGCGTCCATCTGGGATGATAAATCATTTGACACAGGCAATCTTATTCATCAAATCAGAACTTATACACATCAATGGTGTTTAAGTTATCAAGGCTCCAAATTTCTAACAAGGGATCACGATTTATCAATTTATGGACTAATACCTAAACAGTTATCAAGAAAAAGAGGCAGAATAATGGCATGGAAAACCACTCACCCACACTCGTTAAGACTCAATACTGATGCGGCCTTTGCTAATGGTAAATGTGCAGGTGGTGCTGTTCTTAGAGATGCAAATGGTACTTTCATCTCAACGATTTCATTTCCTCTCAAGGCCGGTTCTGTCCTTCAAGCGGAAGCTCAAACCCTTTTAGAAGCTCTGAAATGGTGTAAAGGTAAGGGTTACGAGGGGTTTCAAATTGAAACTGATTCAGAACTCTTATGTAAAGCTCTCAACCACCAAACTACCATGGGGGGTCCATATTTGGAGGATATCAGTAGGGAAATTGAAAATCTTCATGCCAACATCATTCATTGCTATCGGGAAATCAACTCAGTTGCACACCTTCTTGCGCAGGAGGGGCTCCAGTCGGCAAAATGATTGATCTTCTCTTCCACCAGTGAGCTTTCCAGATCGGTACTTGTTCAATTAAATTATAGGGAAAATTACTATTAGCCCCTGAGGTATATCATAATTATTAATGCAACTTTTCATTTTCAAAAATCAATTAGTTACCCCCTATGTTTTTATCATTCTCACTATATACCCCCTCAAGTTAATATTTGTTAAATTAAACTTAATGAAAGTTGTACGTATAATAAATTTTTAAAATATAATACAGTTTATTGTCATAATTATAAGTCATTGTTGATGATCGTTTGTTTTTCTACTTAACGTACTACCTGATCGTGGAGTAACTATTAGTGAGAGTAGTTAAGGGGAAGACTCATGAGTAATATTCATGGGATACATAAAAATAATTGTTTCTAAAATGTGATCAAAGTTTTAGGCACTTCTTCATTATAAATATAAAAGTCTTATTTGTAATTCATCTGGTTGAATTAATCGCAATGGCGTTTCTTTCGTGTGTAACAAAGAAGAAATACCAAGATTTTTTTATCATTCCATGACCTAAGAGATAGGTTTAGTATCAATAAGGGACCTACAAGATAAAATATGTGATGATTTTGATTTTTCAAATTATTCCATGATCTGAATAATTCAAAGCTCTCAATATAAGACCTAAAATAACATAGATTGTAATTTATTTAAATATTTATTAACTATGTTACTAATTTGTGATGATTTTATCTTCACAAAACTTTTTTTGAATGTAAAATGTTTATTAGTTTTATAAGATTAAATGATATTTAACTTTTTAAAACAAAAATATTAAAAATTCATGATATTTTTATATCTTACTCGTGAGTATTTTCTCTTAATTACTCTCAATAATATTTATTCCACGATGGAGTAGCTAAAAAGAAAAATAACGATATAATTTGTGCTTTACATTTAAAATTCATTTTATAGACATTTTTCATTGAATTTAAGAATTATATTAAATTTAAATTTAAAAAATACTCCGTATTAACGTGAGGGGCAAAGAATGAGAATGATCCAAACTCAGGGGGTAACTAATTGATTTTTGAAAATGCAAGGTTGCATTAATAATTATGACATAACCTGAGGGGGTAAATAGTAAATTTCCCTAAATTTTAACGCTCATTCGACCCCAACTTTTCGTGCTTAGTGGTTTATTTGGTTTTGGACTTTTATTGGACTTTTATATGTTATCTTATTGTTTTTTTTCTAAGTTAGGTGAGGCCCAACCCCCCCCCCCCCCCCCCCCCCAACTTAGCTTTATTTACTTTCCTTCTGTATTTTGAAGAGGAATTCCTCTTCGGGAGAGATTTTGGTTCGGCCCCCTCTCTTTTGTAATTTTCCTGCTTTTTAATGAAACACGACAAATGTTCTTCGGTATTTGCCCCACCGATTTTGGTGGTTTGCATTCCGGGTTAAAAAAATATGTTTCCAATAAGATCCTGCCACATGGTGGATGCACCAAAACATTCCACAAGGTATCGGCTAATCGTTTTGTATGTTGCTTATTTCCGAAAATGAATATTGATAGATCTGTATATTGAATATAAATGTTGAAATATTATACTATGTACCTGAAAACACCTCCGATCCACACAATCTACAATTCTTTTCCCATATATTGTACCCTAGCAAGTGTTCTCTATATATATGGTTCCCATTTGTAATGTAAATTTTTTCACTATCTTTTGGGCTCAGATGCCCCATCTTCTCTTTGGGTCTCAAATGCTTAATGCATGTCATGGTTATCTTGCTTGTTTGTTCTATGATGTATGCAACATGAAACTCCCTAACAATTATTTTATGTAGACGCTTTGTTTTTGTTGTTTATCAACACCCTGTTCTATGTTGCCTCCGTTTTCTATTGAAAAAAAATCATTCTCCCCCTCTACGTACAAACCCTTACACTTGGTGTTAAAATTCGGTTTTGCATCTCCTTGTCGTTTGTTCATTTGTTAAATTTTTGCGGTTCATTTTCACAAACTTTATGCGGAACATCACAAACAACCTGTTATTAATTACAGGCAGGGGTTGCTATTCACGCCATTTTCCAGGCGAGATAACGGTTTTATGGCCTTTAACTTTTGGATCTCGTATTTAACTATAGAATGAACATGAACGAACAGATTTTAAGTTGTTAAAATGTTCCTAGATGTGCCTAGATGAATAAAGTGTTCGATTGATCACTTTATGTCATAAATTTCTTCAATGCAATTATGTTTAAGAATATTGTATTGTAATATAAATGTATAAAGTTCCTACAAGTGACAGTAGAGAATATTAAAAAAATAATTGGTAAATTATGTTTCGATAGGCTTGATATCGCGAGTTATTCAAAGCCAATATTTACATAGAATATTGCATTTAAGTAAATCGCGATGTGAAGTCTTCGAACATTTTTTACCAACAATCATGGGAAATGCATTCACTTATGAGGACCGCTGAACTTTAGACTTTCAAAACGCCATATAATCAGTGCTATAGGCATGCACGTTTGCGGTGTGGGAATTTTTTTTTAATTATGGTAACGTGTACTCTTCACGGAACATTACTTTTGCCTTAAAAATCACTTTTAAAAGTGATTGTGGAAAAAGTGCGTAATAGCAAAGTTGATATTGTTTGCGAAAAAGAAACATTTTGAAAACTAAAAGTTGGTAGTGTTTGGTAAAATAGGAGCGCGTTTGGTAACACTGAAATCAGCTGAATCGGGAGATTCTGCTGAAATTTATGAAGTTCTGACCGAAGTGACTGTATTGACTAATTCTTATGATATATGAAAACAATATATAAAAATAGCTAAAATAGTCATCTATAGTAACTTCATGCAATACAGCCAGAAAAATAACTTCAACCTTAATTTTTCTTATGATTAAACAATTCAGCACGCGAAATAAAAAAATTCTTGTTTGGTTTAAAAGTTGGCTGATAAGCCTGATAAGCCGAAAAACACAGTCACCAAACAAGCTCTATGTGCTTTTTGTGTAATAAAACAAGTAAAAAGCAGATTCTAGCTTTTAGGTTTTAAGTATTTAATTTAAGCAAAAGTTTTCACTCAAACCAATCTTTTAGCTTTTTTAAGCCAAAAGCTTAAAATCACTTATTTTTAATTTTTTGCAAACATACCCTAATATTATATCATTAGGTCTTCCTTTCCATTCTGTTAGCCCCAAGTCTCTTCCTTTCTCTGCATTAAAATCACACCCAGTCCAGTCCAGTCTGACGATTACAGGAACATGGTAGGACTTAATCTTCCTTGTACGGACGACCATCTTCAACAAATGCGCTGCTCTCCCATTCTCATCGCCCCTCTTTTCTACCTCAAGTCCACATATCCCTTAATCTTCACGTTTTTTTGGAATCTCTCTTTGCTAATAGAATTTGTGCTTCGTTATTCCAAAATACCTCTGATCCACACAATCTACATTTCTATTCCCATATATTGTACCCTAACAAGTGTTCTCTATATGGTTCCCATTTGTAGTGTAAATTTTTTCACTATCTTTTGGGTTGTCATATGCCATATCTACTCTTTGGGGCTCAAATGCTCAATGTATGTCGTGGTTATCTTGCTTGTTTGTTCTATGATGTATGCAGCCTGAAACTCCCTAAAAATTATTTTATGTAGATGCTTTGTTTTTGTTGTTCAGATCGCCAATTTATCAACACCCCATCCCTAACAATTGAAAAAAATCATTCTCCCCCTCTGTGTACAAATCCTTGCACTTGCTTTTAAAATTCGGTTTTGCATCTCTGTGTCGTTTGTTCATTTGTTAAAATTCTGCGGATCATTTTCTCAAACGTAATGCGGAATATCACAAACAACCTGTTAGATACAGAGGAACCTTCAACCTCAAAACCTGTAGCAGATGCAGCTTACATTCCACCTCTGGTGAGAAAGTTTGCTGAGTTAAAAGAATCTTTTGATAAAGAAAAACATGTCTTTGAATTTGAAAAAGAACAACTTTTGAAAGAGATATCCTTGTTAAAAACATCCTCTCAATCCAGCACAGGTTCTCAATCTCCTTCCTCATCCTCTGAAAAATCAACCATTAACTCTTCTACCATTAACTCCGAGTCTCCTTCGCCTACAAGGAACCACGTGAAGGGAAGAGTGGAGAGGAAGGGAGAATGGATTGAGGAGAAGTTTAGAAGAAGAAAGAAGGAAGAAGAATCTCGTCTAAGGAATAGGAACCAATGTCCGAGTGCTCTGTTCTATGCCAAGAATAAGACATCTGCCAAGAATCACTTCTCTAGTTGTTCTTCTTTGAATTCTGGTAAGTCAATGAAAACTTGTTGCTCTGTGTCTGATGTCTCCTCCAACCAAGATCAGAATGTGAATGTTCAAAGATGCCCAAAGAAATCAGCTTCAGCAAAAGTGAACTTTGAGGGGGAGTATAAATTACCATGTTTAAAGTATCCCCTCAAGGTTCACTCACTCAAACATTTGAGAAGACTCTATCAAGAAACAATTTTAAAGGATTATCTGTCTGAATATTTACACACCACTGATGAAATCTCTCTTGCTCCAAAGTTCACACAACAATGGGTTCCTAAAGCCGAAGCAGAGAAATTAAGAAATTCAAATTCTTCTCAACCAGCTAGCCTAGGATCCCAAATCAAACAGAAACTCAAACAATTTTTCAGTGTTGACAAGGAAGGACCCATCTGGAGGTGGGTACCAAAACATATTTAATCTGTCTTGCAGGTCTGTCATGTGTGGTAACTAATCCGATTGCTCCACACACATGGCGTGTAAGAAGACAAGCTGTGAGCAATCAACTGATGCAAATTATCAAGGAGAGTATTGGCGCGTACACTCCTCAATGAGCTGAAAATCATCAAATGCACACCTCAACACCAACACGTGCCAAGAACAAACAACGAGTGCTTATTCTGAGGGGGGTGTTTCTTTTTCACTACTCCTGGTGCCAAACAACGAAGAAAGCACATTCCAAGGGGGAGTCTTCTACTTTACTCCCTGGATATCAAACAACACAACTTGCAACTTCAAAGGGGGAGTTTCATTTTTCTTCTCTTGGTGCCAGATAATGTAAAATGCAAGGATTCTCTCAAGGATGCAAATTTTGAGGGGGAGCTTTCAAAGTTCTCCTCCAAAGCGCCAATCATCGTCAAAGGCGTCCTACTGAGTGCTCCAGTTGAGGGGGAGCACATAAAGAAAAGAAAAGAGCAAAGAGAAATGAGAGATAAGTTCCAATGACTTAGTAAACCCAGCTAAGCCTACCCAAGGGACAAAGCCGAGAGTGAGTAAGTAACTGATTGAACACTATGAGAGTGAGGAAGCAGAAAGCTAAAGTGAGCAAGAGAACAATAATCACTGTCAAATCTGCTACCTCTATTGTGCTATCAATCGAGAAAATTACTCTTAGTCACTCAAATACTCTGGGCAATCCCCATAGGTTCAGGACTGAATTTAATTAGATCCCGAGTAGAAGTCACTGCATTTTGTCCAAATGGCGCGTGCACAACCCTACCCAAGACCACTCACTTGTCTCCCAACAGACATGTGTTTAATCATATTTCACGGGGAACCTCATCTCTTATCACTGTCTCCTTCCGAGGCGAATGATATTGACTACAGTGGCCCACAGCCCCATGCCACTGAACATTCATTGATCACGTTGTGCCTAGTTATCTCACTCCCAAATGTTTTAAATTTTCTAGGACACATACATTTTTTTAGAGTTAGTTGCAGGTCTTCATGACCGCGAAAACTTACATAGGGCTCATCTACTATAGATGAAGACCAACGATCGGAAGGAAATCCTGTTGTTGCAACATAGAAATCACCAACATGTTCAGGCCATCACTTTTGAGTTTATCCCTATAGTGATGATAACGGATGTCTATACAACCTCGGGGGGGCTACAAGTTTTCGTTGCTGATTCTTGAGATCATGCCATAACAACCAGAGTGACATCTATTTTAGATGCTTCACAATGATTGGTTGGAAGTCCTGTTGGAGATTTAATGTTTCTATCATTTTTATACAGGCCACGCATAAGTTTTTACAGTGATGTTGTGTTAACAGAACACTTTAGTGTATCCGGTCTTATCATTTTAACTTTCTGTTTGTTTTTCTGTTTTGTTTCACAGAATAAAAGAATAAAGGCATGACGCCTCGATTCATTGGATAGTCGTAAGGGGGAGAGTGGTACACATTCTATTAACTCTCAACAAATCATTGAAAGGACAAAAGAGCTCTAGGATTGGCTATGGGATCAAAAGAAGACAAATAGAGCTTGAAAACGGCGTTCATAATGACCTTATGTCAATCGTTCAAGCATATCTCTTCGTAGAAGCATCCAAAGGACATGATTCAAGTTTCATATGAAAGACAACTTCAAGGGATATAAATCATATGAAGACACCATTGCAAGAATCGGAGAGCAAGAAGGTGAAAATAGACGATGAAGTCAGAATATCCTTGTTGCGATTTCAGAATGAGACCTTCTACTATTTTATTCATATCTTTTGTTTGGATGATTCAAATCCAATTCGGCAAGTTGTGGTGGATAGAAGAATTCATTATCTACAACTTTCATGAAGGAAATTTGTCAAATTCAGAAGAGAGAAATGATGAAAAACAGACCACGCACGATCGTGCCTGAAGGGACGCATGATCGTGCGTGATAGAGATATTCGCGTGGAGCTACTAGAAGCCAGACACGATTGTGTCTAGCAGGGTAGGCACGATCATGCCTACCCCCTTGTTACGCGAAAAATTGTCCTAGTTTGGCCTTAATTCAGATTTTTTTTCCTTTTTCTATAAATAAGGCCTCCATACCCCTTATTAGGGGTAACGAACATTACGGAGAGGCCTAGGCACGAGTTTAGATTAGTTTTTCCACTATTTTGCTCAAGATCCTGAGATTATTTATAAGTTCATTCTTTTTAACTAATGACAATTATTTCTATTCTTCCCAATTCTATTGATTCTTCAATTATGAGTCGGGAAAAGTTTTAATTAGGGATTTGGGATTGATGAAGGGGTTAATCGCAATGTATGGCTAGGTTCTTGATAGATTAATTGCATGAATGCCGTTTAATTTATGTTTGAATAATTTAATTGATATCTTTTGCAACCTGGAACCGCGGCTAGAATTATAATTGCTTGTAGAATAAATTAAGAGAGATCTAGTTTATTCTAAGACACATTCACACAAACTTAATCGTTCACTAAGAGATTAGTAGCGATTAAGGGACCGTAAGCTCGCTCGTCTTGGCAATAATTTAGGATCCTATCGCATGAGAGATTAGCCTGGTCCCCTAAATTATTGTACTCTACGCCGCGAGAGCGGTAAGAACTTAGTAATGATTAGCTAGGCTCAATTAAATTAATTTCATGTGATTAAGCCTGATCAGCCAGAAATCTGATTACCCCGGAATCAATTCATGCTCCCTTCATCGTTAATTAGAGAGAAACCAATCTTTTATTTTAATCGTTCATTCGCATTAGTTTAATTTCAATTCAACCAACAAATCTCGCACGACTCATTTATTTTATTTATTTTTAATCGCTGAATTTAATTAATTCTTGATTCCCTTTTGTCCGTCCCTGTGGAGACTATACTCGTACTTTTACCACTATTCTACTATAAATTTAAGTGCGAGAAAACTCACATCAGTTTTTGGCGCCGTTGCGTGGGACGGTGTCGGTCTTAAGGGTTAATTAGACTCAGCGATCTGTTTTTAATTTTCTCCAAGAAACCGCCCGTCTGGTTTTCAAAATTACCTCACCCCACCCATCTTTGCCCAAAATCAATCGACACCACAACTGAACTTCCCTCCACTCTATGAGCTTTTCCATAATGTTTATGCTATCGTTGAACCCACGGTTCCTAATTCGACCTATGGGATGCCAAGCACCAATCAGAACATTCCTATCTTTCAGCCAGGCCAGAATATTCCACGAGTCAGTTAAAACACCTTCCAAAATCAGTCCCATTACCAGAATCCTTATCTCAATCAGTACCACAACCAACCCCGAGCGTCGCCTGCTCAGCCACAAGCAGCTTTCCATCCTAGACAGCAGGTGCCTCCGCAAAACGCCTATATCCCACACAATAATCCTCTTTATCAAGGTCGTACCATTGCAGAGTTCCTTACGCCAGACGTCTCAGAGTATGATAGCATTCAAGTGACATGAATTACTGCCAACCGTTATGAGATCAAGCCGTCGGTGATAAGCATGGTGTCCAATAACCAGTTTGGAGGAGGTCCTACAGAGGATCCAGTTGCACATATTATCCATTTTCTGAGGATGTGCCAGACTTTCAAGATACCTGGGTTAACTGATGATCATGTACGGATGATGCTTTTCCCTTTCACATTGAGGGATGATGCGCAGAGGTGGTTGGACAGCAATCCTCACCACCACCTCCAGACTTGGGACCAACTGCAATCCCTTATAAAAGAATACTTTCCAACATCAAAGACACTTAAGTTGAAAAAGTAATTGTATGAGTACAAGTAGGGATCTCTGAAAACACTAGCTGAAGCATGGAAGAGATTCAAGGTGCTGAGAAGAGCTTGCCCTCAGGGCAATTTGAGTGACTGTGAGGTTCTTTTCTACTTCTATAGCGGACTCAACAATGACGTGAAGATGATAGCGGACTCACTTACATTAGTTTAATTTCAATTCAACCAACCAATCTCGCACGTTGCATTTATTTTATTTATTTTTAATCGCTGAATGTAATTAATTATTGATTCCCTTTTGTGCGTTCCTTTGGAGATGATACTCGTACTTTTACCACTATTCTACCATGAATTTAAGTGAGGGAAAACTCACATCACACCCATATTTATACTAATTTCTTCAAAACTTCTCTAGAACTTTCTATGCATTACTACACTTCTAGAGTCTTCCATGAAGTATCCACAAGCTTCTCTAATCTTCTAGAAGGATCTAGAAAGCTCCAAATCTCTTTAGAATGTTCTAAAGGCTTCCACACACTTCCATACGATTCTAGGGAATTCCACACTTCTGTAGAAAACTCCACAATGTTCTAGAATATTCTACACTCTTCCACACGTTTCCAGATAATTCCACACCTTTTAGAAATCTCTAGAATATTGTAGAACATTCTACACTTCTCTATACACATCTAGAGAATTCTAGACATCTCTGCAGTATTCTAGAATTCTCATTAACTTCTCAATTAGGGAGGGAACCCAACAAATCTCCCCCTACCAAATAACTTAATTGAGAAGTAGCAGTCAACCACCAATAATAGCCTCAACATTTAGGCTCAGCAGTCTCCACCTCACGAGTGACTTGCTCTCCCTCAAACAAAGCTTGTATCACATCATATGAAGAGCTAGCAAGGAATGATCACGATCTCCTCCGCAACAAGAAATGATCTACTAAACTATTTTGTACCACCGTTCTCTACCAACGGGACACGCCGCCTGATCACCTCAATATAAGGAAGACTTTCGATATAACACACCAACAGTAGATCAAATCGCAAGACCAAATCCTGTACACGATGTTCTCATGAAGATCTCCTCTCGACTGACACTTGATCTGCAATTCATCTTGTACCGCCGTTGTTTATCAACAGGACACGCCGCCTGACCGCCACAATATCAGGAAGACTTTCATACAACGCACCACTAACATATCAAATCGCGAGACCAAACTAAGAACCACCTGCACAATGCATCTCATCACTTTGCTCCATATATGTATGACCACAGCTCTAAAGTGAAGTCCAACATCCCATCAAAGAGCATGATCTCGAATGCCTCTGACAACACTGTTGCCATTATGATAAGACAAGATCTATCCCCACGACGAACTCTACCCGTTACTTACCTCCAACAACCTCGTCTCTGATACCACTGTTGGGGGAAACACGACGCCCCGACCTCTTCCAGGATCACGAGCTCATAGCCTGCACACTCACCCACACACTCGCAATATAAAGGTTTCAACTTGCAATATCACTTTGTATTATATAATTGAATGTACAAAAGAAATTTTACAAGTAAATGAGTAGCTCACTTCACTCTTTGTATCTGGGACTACTTCACTCTCACACCCATCTCTCAAGGAGGCACTCACTCACTCAAGAGCTCTACTCAAGGCTCTCTCTCATCACTTGAGAAGGCTCACTCAAGGCTATCACAATGCTCTCTCTAGGCTCTCCCACTCACATGTGAATATGGAGTCTCACCCTTTTTTTTAACTCCGGAAGGAAAACCACCAAAATCAGTGGGGTAAATGCCGGAGACCATTTACCGGGATATTATTGAAATAAAAGAGTATTACATTGCGGAAGGAAGAGGTGTAAAATAACTAATACATAATACGAAGAGAGGGAATTCCAAACAGATCCATAAGATAAGCATTTTTGGCCCGGGCTGGGAGCTGATTGGGCTCAGAGAATTTTTGGAATTGGGCCGAATCATGATCAGCAAGGAAGTGTGCGACCCAATTTGCTTCTCGCCATATGCTGGAATAGGCAATCTTCTTATCTTCCGACAACAACATCAAGGCTTTAACTTCATAGCTCCACCTTCCGCACCCTTTCTCCCTGATAGTCTTCACAGCCTCCGTTGAATCACCTTCCACCTCAAAATCCGAGTAGCCTTCTTCAATCATCCAACAAATCGATTGCAGCGCAGCTTGAATTTCAGCCTCTAAGGAAGAGGACGCTTGCAGTGGAAATGAAATGGCACAGATCAAAGTCCCGTTCATATCTCTTAGAATCGCGCCTCCCGCAGACGATTCAGGTGAGTATCTTGCATCAGTATTTAATTTGAAGGTTTGGGATGGTCTTTTCCATTTTACTGCCAAAATAGTTGGACAACCTAGCCAGAATGTACTAGGTATCATATCTTCTTCGTATATAATCCTTTCAACTGTTCGAATTTTACCTTTAGGGAGTCCAACTGACCAGGTCTGAGAATAGATTTTTATCTGTTTAATGATTCCTGTTGATGATGGGCTGAAACCCTCCTGTCCCCAAATTAAGCTTGAATAAGTTTTCCATATGTGCCAGCATATAATACCTGGCAAACAGTGTTTAAATAAGTCCTCCATCTTCTTAGTACCAGCTTTAATCCATCAAGACATTAGAACCTGTCTAATAGAGGTAGTTTGAAAATGAGTAGGAATCTCAAATATTCCTCTGAAATAGTTCCAAACTGGCTTTATCTTCTCACAATTGTATAGAATATGGTCAACCCCATCAGTATGAGCTCTACATATAGGGCAGATTATAGGGTTTAGAACAATTGAGAATCTTTGCAGATTGTCTGGGGTAGGTAAAATGTTATGCAGCAGTTTCCATTGAAACAATCTGACCTGTAGGGGTAATCTAGGGTGCCAAATATGTTTGTATAAGAAAGAGGTATGTTTTTCTTCCCTGACAACCTCATAGGCAGATGAAAAGGAAAATCTTCCATTAGTTTCAGGTTCCCAAGTATAGCTACCATCCATATTTGTACCACAGTGAGAGCTAGCTAATTCATCAATACTACAAATTCTCCTCCAAATGGGTGAATCAGTTATCTTAGGTACCATATTAGTTCTTGGATATCTAGATTTGATGAACTGAGTCCAAATGGAATCACCAGTTTTCCATTTCCACCATAGCTTCAGAGTGAAAGCTTTTTCAATATCAGTGAGGCTTCTAATACCAAGTCCTCCTTCATCAGTAGGAAAGCAAAGATGGGCCCATTTAATCCAATGATATTTCTGTTTGGTATTTGATGAACCCCAATAAAAAGTAGCCATTTTTTTCTCCAAAATGTTGATGATTTTTTTAGGCAATCTGTCAGCAGCTAAAATATGGAGAGGGATAGTGTTGAGC